CAACTGATTACTTGGATATCTCATCATTAGAAAGGCAATTCTATATACCACAGCAATCCAATCTCAAAAATGTGTCTTGCCTCTCTGGTTTACAATGTTTAGTATGAGCGAAATCGCATAATTTTCCAGAAAAAATGCCTATCTGCGAACTCAGTTCTGCACCTCACTTTGGACTATGTAAGAACAAAGCTTCTCACATCATCAATCCCTCACACAACAAATGCTAGAAGAACTATTGATGAATGGAAACTGCCTGAGGCGATCTTCCGTCCACCACCAAAGCCGCTGGATCAAACATCGATATGATAAAGGTTGGAGGATATGATCTCCATAATTACCAGAATACAAAATCGTGGCCTGTAACGGTCATGTTTTCCATTGTTTCAATGTTCAGATGGGAGTTATTTGTCCCAGGTTTGGTCTAACAGGGCCTCATCTATTTGGGCCTCAAGTCTACTAGTTCCTTTGGCTAACATTGTGTATTGGGCCTTTATAATTTTTGTCTATATATATATATATATATATATATATATATATATATATATATTGAAATTTTAACTTTCAAAAAAAAAAAAAAAAAAAAAAAGAGAACCGGTTGCACATGCAGGAATTAGTTTCCGTTTCTATTTTAAACTTTCTAAAAGGCCTAGACTTCTAGAGTTAGTTGTTTCTCATTGGGATACATCCATTTTAAAGTTAAAGACTGATGTGGTAACTTCTTGTTAGATAACGTATAAAATCTTTGTTCAATAAGGAATGTGTTGAAAACTCTATAAATAGAGGTGGAGTCAGCTAGAGAATGTAATTAAAGATAAGAAAAATGGTTTGAATGGGTGAAAAGAGAAGATAGTGGGTGAGCGTAAAAGGATGTAGCCTCATAAGAAGTGGGTTTGCTCTTAACCAGATAATCAATAATGGATTTTAGCTCTTAACCAGCCCTTGATTAGTAGATAGACTTCTTATGTGATAGGTTGAGTGCATTTTCTACAGTTGTAATATCTCTTTTTAATTGATTCATAATAGTGAAAGTTTTCTTTCCGTTGACATAGCTTTAGAGGTTGAGTGAACCACGTTAAATTATGTGTCATGCTTCATTAATGTTTGATTGTATCTCTATATATGATTGTGTGATTGATGATGTTTCTAGAAGCACACAACGACCACTTAATTTATGGATGTGAGGTAAGGTGCATGCTAAACGACATCAAATGCCCCTTTCTTGTGGTTTATCTGTACAGAAATAATTAAACCCATACAAGGTATATGAATGCAAAATTTATATAATGAATGCTTACTTAGTTCATTCTGATAACAGTTCCGTTGATGCCTTATTAACATTAACGCCGAGCCTCTTTTAGGCTCTCTACGTTCATGAACTTATTTTTATTTTCCTAGAACAGTTTTATGTTTTTTGAAAATTGTAAATCAGAAAACTATACAAAATGGTTGATAGTTTTTGAAAACTCAATTAAAAGGGACTATTTTCATAGAACTGTCTATTGAAGTTCTCTGAAAATAATTATTTATTTTTAGATATTTGAACCAAAAAGACCCTAAAAGACTGCTTGGTTCATTTTTTTGAGAAATGAAAATTTAAAAAATGTACAAAAACTTGTTTAGTTAATAGATTCTGAAAACTATTTTTTGAAAACTCAATAAAAGGTTTTAGAAATCTTATTACTTCAGTTTTTTAGAACAATTTTCTATTTTTTGATAACTAATTAAGGCTTCGTTTGGATAAACAAGAGAGAAGAAAAGAAATAATATCATTAGTTATAAAAGAAAATAAAATAAAATAAATGATAGCAATAACCTTTATTCATGTTTGGATAAATTATGAGAGAAAATAAAGGAAATGATTGTATTCTTATTTGGAAAAGATAGATAAGAGAAAAGAAATGAAATGATAACAATTAAATTATTATCATAACCCTTTTGTAAAATGTTATAAAATTTTTGTAAAATGTTATAAAATAAGAGTCGAATGTTATAAAAGGGTAGTTTTGGGATTATGAAAATACTACTTACTCACTTTCCTTTCCTTCCAAATCTTCTCATTTTTTGGATGATAGCATATGAGGGATTTGGAGGGATAGTTATCCAGGGGCAGAGCCAGGAATTTGGTTCGGGGGGGCATGTTAAGCCTAACCAAAAAAAAAATTCCAGCTAACTATAGCAAGACATCAGGCTGAAAATATAATAGTGTAACAATAATGCCTTAGAATAAGTGAATAAAAATGAATAAGGAGAGAAAAAAGAAGGTTATTGCACATAAATTATGCATGAGTGCAAGAAAAAAATATAAGAAGAAAAAGGAAATTTTTAAGAAAAATAAATAAAAAGAAAAAAATATGAAACAATTTTGAAGGAAAAAAATAGGTTTTAATTGTAAAAAGAGAATGCAAAAGTTTTTGAACAGAACAAAAAGAAATTTTGAAGAATAAGAATAAGAAGAAAAAGAAATAAGGAATTAAGGAGATTTTTATAAATAGATAATTTATGGTGGGCAATTTATAATTTTTAGGGGGCATTTTATAAATATTTACAAATTATATGCATAGAATAAAATAAAATTTTGTGAACTCACATGGGACTAGGGGCAAAGGGGACAGTTTGGGGGGCATAGAAGTAAAAAAAAAAATAGTGGGCCGGGGGGTTGGGGCAAAGGGGACAGTTTATTATCATCTCGTTTCTTTCCAAATCACTCAATCCAAACAAAGCCTAAAATAAGGAAACTGTAAAAAAAAATTGTTTGGTTGAGTTTTTTTGGTTGGTTTAGTTTTTGAAACAATTTATTTTTAAGGACTGTCTTTTATAGTTCTATGAAAACAATTTTAGTGCCTATTTGGTTTGCCACTTAAAAAACAGTTATCAAGAACTCATAAAATAGAGAACTATTTTTACTATAAAAGACAAGTTATGTAAAAACAAGTCTTTTTCTAGCTAAGTTTTCAAAAAACAGTAGCATTTTTTTTTTTTCGGGGTAAAATTTTCAGTTCTCATAAAAGTGAACCAATCAACCTCTATTATATTTTCTAAGGTCTTGAGAACTATTTTTTCATAACTAAACCAAGCATGCCCTACTCATCCATGTCATTATATTTGCATATCTAGCTCTCTCTCTCTCTCACACACACACACACAAAGGGCAATTGCAAAGGTGCTGTCTACCCTCTAATCACTCAATCATAATCATTATGGTTTCCATTAGTCTCAATGCATGCATCTAACTATTTGTTATTGATTACTTTTTTCTACAACAAATTCGAAGCTCATAAGTTGTGAGCATAATCATTTCTTCAAGTGGAATTTTATTCATGGAGTTTTCAATGTTTTTAATTTGGTTCCATGATGTAGTCTCTTGAAATACTTCAACCCCATCATTGGCATGAGAATGCCATATGAATAGCTTTAGTTTGGAGAGGATAACCATGAGGTATTCATATCTTCTATATAGATTAGAAGAAGGAGAATCTACAATCAAGCCCCAAAATAAAAGGCCACAGAAAAAAGGACAAAAGCCCAGGAGGGTGTTTATAAATCACTAGATTCAGATTTGATGCAAATGCATTACATCTAGTGTCTACTGCTCACGTTACTTGACCTTAAGAAACAACTAACTCATCAACCCTCCAAAATGCTTCAAGAGGAAGATTTATCATGGAGGACCTTGGTGGATAAGAGATCAAAGATTCAAACCTTGGCATAGGTGATAGACCTTAAATTAAATCTAGTAGTTTACAGTACGGCTTTTTCCGTCACATGGTGCACAAACTCTGGAACAATACATCAGCCTAACACATATGATATAAGATATCCAGAACAAGAAGAGGTATTACATATATTCCATCCTGAAATGTTTCTTATGATGACTCCGAACTCTTGGCTTATGTATCGAACCCTCTCTATCCTAGTTGAGCAATGAAAATAAGCAGAGACTTATAATGTTCCTAATCTATTGTTTACAACAAAAATATTATTCAAAGATCGATGTCAATATAGTATGCCTAGCTTTATAATGATATTTGCAGTGTGGAAGAAATAAAAAGGCCTTATGAGCTTATGATGCATTGTTATTCACTTACAACTAATATCAAATTACTAATATTGTTGATATAAGTGGATAATTATCGATAAATCTCTGCAAAAGACAAGAACAGATTTCAGGAAAGTCATACAGAATCTATATATGGAATGTCAAATCTAGTATATATCCAGACAATAGCTAGCTAACTTATTTTGGTGGTTTCAATGACAGAAGGATTGGGGATGGTATGCACTCTCCATTATCCAACTAATGCAAGTGCCAAAAGAATCAGCTATGATATAAACTATATCATTTTAGTAAACTGAGTTTTTTAAACAGTGTAAAATGAAAATTAAAAAAGCATAGACAAATATATTGCTTCCCTCAGTTGATAAAGGCCGGAAAAAGAAGATAAAAAAGTAACCCAATAAAAAATGTTAATGAATTGGAACAAAGCCTATTGCACTGCCGATTTTTAACTATATATATCCTGCTTAATATTTATTGTTGTTTTTTTGGTAAGAAAATACTTGTTTTACAACATATATACACATTATAAATTGATTACTATGATTATCATCAATAATCAAGGTTTCAAACGTAATATCTTTTATTGACTTCCTGAGCTGAAAACAAAATAAAAACTCTAGTCAATCCTAAGAATAATCTTTACTACATATATTAATTGGCTCCTTCCAAGCCTTATTTTATTCTTAAATGTATGAGACAACTAAATGGAGGTTGAAATATCTATCACCCTAGGTGTCACAATTCACTTTGAAAGCATGAACTGAAGTAACCATAGTAGTGGATCTACATGTCATGAGTCACTTCAGTCATTTCATTAAATTTGGTTAACTGAACCCATTCACTGGAAGACACTTGAGAAAGTGACTGCAAAAGTCTCCACAGTCCAGAATTAGGGAAGAAGTTTTAGTTGATCTACTGACCATATAAAGTTCGGTATGTTCCCTACTCATCTATTCAGGATTGGGTGCTATCTCCATAGCTGGATGCATGGAGTACTGAAGATTGTGAATCTGATTATCAACCAGAATTAAGATGCATGCACATGTACTTAATTAAGATTCATTGCTAGAAAAGGACCAAAGCAAAAACAAAACAAAACAAAACAAAACAAAAAAAAGACTCCTACAATAGTGACCCTAGCAGGGGAGGAACACTAAACCTTCCCTTTGGAGACGAGAGATCATGCCATCTTGGCTACAATTTTTTTAAAATAAAATAGGACTCGCATGCATATCATTTCCAAGAAGATATTTGTATATGTATAAAGAAATTAGAAGAATTTTTTTCACAATGAAGATCCCTACCCTTGTCATTTTAGTTTGACTTTGCTGCTCATTTTTTCATTAGGTTACTTTTTTTTTTTTTCTTTAGGTTATTAATGAACTTTAGCAGTACTATTCCAAAGTAAAAATAATTAGGGGACAGGCATGGGAATTGTTATGAGGTGCAGAACTATATGATAATATATATTATCCAATTTTGGGTGGATCAGGTTAATTTATCTTCCTCGTCCTTTGAAACCATAAAGCGCCTTCACAAGGACATGATAGATATTCCACAAGAAGATAGAAATTTTCATTAATGAAAGACACATAACAATCATGGACAAAGTTTTTCACAAGAGAAAATGCAAACCCAGAGATATAGACACCTAAATTACACTTCAAAGGGAAAGGAAAACGAAAACCTATATACCCTTCTTGTAGAGGTATATATCCGGCCAGTTGATGCACATGTTACGGTAGATTTATGTTGTTGTAGACTTCCCATGGTTTGCCACAGAATTGGAAGTCTGTGTACTGATGCTGCACACAATTTTGTGTGGTGGTCAGTAAATCTCAATTGAGTTTTGGGACTTACTTATTAGTTCATATATGTCATATATCTATATATATATAGCACAACATATAACTAAGTTCATTGATTTTTCTTTCAGGAAATTTGTTAGAACTAATTACCTCTTGGGGTATTCCAGTAGTTTGCTGATAGTTGAAGACGACAGATGGACTCCAATTGCCTGTAATCACCCAAGAATCACCCACCATGTCATCTTGTGTGCCTAGATGATTCTGCTCGCGAGAGATACGTTCTTCAGCCTCAACCAGCACTTCAAAGGAAGGATTGATGTTGTTGCGACTTTGGGTACCCGAATCTTCGCCATTTTCAAAGGGACTCCACGACCCTAATTGATTTAAACCATCCTTCATTTCTCCCGAATGTAGTTTTGATTCATCGCGCATCTTCTTTATTCCTCTTGTCCTCTCCCTCGCCCTCTCTCTTGCCTTTTCCCTCATTTCTCTTGCAAGAGGGTGAAATGCACTTTTTCGCGATCCTCTAACCTTCTTCTCTTTAGCATTAATACACGTTGCAAGTTTCCCCTTGGCGATGCTTCCATGCTGGTTTTTGCTAATTGAGGACTCATCCATCCCAGAAACCACTTCACACTCAGAAATAGAAGATGTAGTGTCTCCGCCAGCACTGCAATTTTGTTTCATGGGGGAGAGGCTGCTAGCGAGTTCTTTGATGGCAGATTTTGACATTGTCAGCAACCATTCGACGGTTTTACTAGCTTTGTCGAAGCCAAGCATGTCTTGCAGGTCGAAGAACTTGCGAGCCACTTTGAGGGACAATCTCATTCTCCTGTCTCTTGGGCCATGCTTGGTATCAATCTTGCTGTGGCGATCTTTCTTGGAAGATCTCTTTCTTGGGATCTTCTGCTCATTCGTGCTGTCTTTTTTCAGATCGGCCACGTTTTTATCCAAATCTGCAGCCATGTTAATCACATCCACTGCGACAGAATCAACAGCTGTTGTTAAGGGTTGCTGCTGCTGTTGGAGTAAAAGGTCATGGAGGTGTTCGAGAAAAATGGTGTCGTCTTCGTAGTGATTGTATGGAGAAGGGAAGTAGAACAAGGAAGAGGTAGTATCATCATCTTGTTTATTGCAATTATTGGGGTTGATGTCATTGAGAAAAGGCCTGTTTGCTTGGTGATCATGAACGTAAGATAATGGGTTGTTGCCATTGGTGTTGGAGGGATAGGGATACATCTAGCTAGATATATGTAGGTGTCTTTGTAATTGCACTCAATATGACCCTAGCTAGGTTTTAAAGGGAACTAGATCAGCTAGGGAAAGAGATGAGGCACACCATATATTAGTTGGAAGAGCTCCAACAGTTCCAATACTCCATCTTTTTTCTCTGCAAGAAACCAACATTAGATTAGAAAAAATCAACAGATTCACCATATATTTGTTTTTACTCCTTGTGAGTGAGTGTGTGTGGGTTGGGTGGGTAGGTGTATATGGTACAGGGAGTGAGAGCTAGAGAGAATAGATTCTGGTTTACAAAGTGCCAGCTGCTTGAGAAAGACAACCTAATAGGGATATAAATGTTTGGGTTTTGTGTGTTTGTTGTGTGTGTTTTTATATATATGTGTTTGTGTTTTTATGTATTGTGTGTGTGTGAGAGAGAGAGACAGAGACAGAGACAGAGAGAGAATGTACATTTACCTTCCTCAAGCAAGGAGTAGAGCTTTGAGAGCAACAGGGGCTATGATGATGATGGGGGGAGTGTAAAGAAGATGAGAAAGGGAAGGGAGTGTTTATCTGGAGACAAAGAGGAAAGAAGTCTTTGCTTGCTTTTATGCAAAAGTTGGCGCTTGAAGCATGAAAGGGAAAGAAGGAGAAACTAAGAAGATATGAGGTGGAGGAGGAGGAGGAGCAGTAGCTGTAGCGATGTTGTGGGAAGTGAGTGGATGGAAAAGAAAACACTTCGATCTGCTTATGCCACTTCACGTGGGAGAGAGCATTCGCATGAGAGAGTGAGGGGGGGGGGGTTGTCGTGGTGGTTTCTTTTGAAAAGTCGGCCTCTCTTTTGGTCACATCAATTACCTCCAATCCTAAATCTAACGGTTACAAAATGCATTACTATTTTTGTTTTTGGATTAAAATACACATTACTCCCCACTATTTTTGTTTATACTAAGTTGTTTGGATTAAGGTGTGTATTAAATTATCATAATATATAGTTAGGGTAAGTGATGTACTTTTGTTTTCAATCATTACACATGAATTGAAGATGTTTCGAGATAAAAATGATGAGAGACAGAGTATTTAAGAGAAGTTTATACCTATTAAAATTTATTTCTTAGATCATTATTCAATAAAAACGAAGGTGGGGGAGATTTTGGAGTACTACTGTACTAGGTTGCTTTTTTCTTTATTTTTATTTTTTATTTATGAGAGACAATTAGTGCGTTGCCTTTTCTCATTCGCATAAAGTGATACGAAAAGATAATGGATTCAAATCTACTTTCAATATGAGAAACAATTTCGAAGAAGTTTGTTTACATTAAATTTTCTTTTTAGATCATTATTTCATAGAGACAATTCAAAGGAGAGATTTTGAAGTACTAGGTTGCTTTCTTTCTTCTTTTTTTTTTTTTTTTATGCCACTCTCTATATTGTTTTATGTTATTATTGCTTAATTTTTTATATATATGCTTTCTCTTTTTTAACATTAGTGCGTTGCCTTTTTTCTTATTAACGAGAGCTGGTGTGAAAAGATAATGAATTCAAATCTATTAGTTCTCATTTGTGAGATAATTGATTTGTGAGACAATTGTATCACGAGTCGTACAAGCGTGCAACATAAAAATAATTTATAAAGATTATATAAAAAAAGAACTTCCAAAATCAAAATCAACTTTTAACTTTAATGATGAGGTCATGGAAAAATTATGCTACCACACTTATTTTTCAAAAAAAAAAATCTTAAATTCAAATTAATTCTCATTCAGATTTTTTTTAAATAAAAAAGCCTTTTTGGGGGAGATATTTGACCACCTTATGTGAGATGAGAAATAGTTATTGGGGCTCCACGTGGCCATGTCTAACCCTAGACAAGGACAATTATTTCACTCAGAAGGCAAATACATTGAGGCCTGCCCAGTAAATGCTCCTTTGACTGAATGACTCCATGTCGCTTTCACTAAAAAGAGAAACCCATCTCTCTCTCTCTCTCTCTCTCTCTCTACATACATGTTTATCTATATCCCAGGTCTGTGTGAGTTGTGAGATGAGAATGTTGTTTGGTTCTCTCTGACGCGTGCTTATCTGTTTACCTTTTCTCTGCTTTTTTTGAGAGCCAAAAAGCTCTCTCTCTCTCACACAGTCACACACACAATGTGAACTCTCTCTCTCTCTCTCTCTCTCTCTCTCTCTCTAGCTATATATCTCACATGACAAAATGTGAGGAAAGAGTTGCTTGTGCTTCAGATAGCCACTGATATTCAGTACTACAAAGACCTAATTGATACCCTAGCCAATCACATCTTGCCATATATAACCACTATTTCAATCTCATCTCGCTATTGTTTATGGTAATAGTCAATTTACAATCAAAAGCCCATATATAATTTGCATTGTACTATTTCCTTTAATTTCCATATATACATGCCGCCCTGCCCACTTATCTCTCTCTCTCTCTCTAACACTCTCTCTCTCTCTATCCCTCTCATCTCTGGTGCCCTAGCTGAGCCCTGTCGTCTTTAGACTGGCATTATTACGAGGACCACATGAAATGGTAGCTGGGTTGTTCTTTGGTTGCTTTCAAGGATGAGATAACTATGACTAAAACAGGTGATAATGTACCATACAAGTGTGGGTGACAGTGAGAGCATATATATACATATATATATATATATGAACCCTAACCAAGTGCTTTCATTTCCTTAGAGAGTAGCTAGCCTCTATTATTTGCTACTTCAATGTGTGCTCTGATTGTGTCAACATGTCCATTGGTAGTGTGATGATCAATATATATATTTATATATTTATGATTCTACTGTATTATGGAGTAATTCTTTGATTTTCAATGTTACCCATTATATTCCATTTGGGCTAGCTAGATGAGTATATATATGATGGATAGGGGAGATGAACCATTTTCTATGGTCAGCATCAGACTATTGGTGACTTGTGGGACAATTATAACTTGTTCAGTAGCTTTATATGGCAAGCATGCAATGTTTGAGTTCAACCCATTGAGACTTTTGGGACTTAACTTCTTCTTTGGGAACTACAGTTTTTTAAATTCCAAGAATTCATCAACACACACAATTGTACTACATATATAATAATAATGCTTTTCATCTTTGTGCAATGGAAAATATCTTGGTGGTTTTTAATTTCTGTATTTGAGAACTAATTGGAGGACCATCCCATCCCACAGTACTGCAAGTCTATGGCTGACCTAGTAATATTATTGTTAGGGCAACAACAATATTACAACTTAAATATTGATTGAAAATGGTTAGTTGAATTAAGGAAATCAAAAATCCCCACAAAAATAAAAATATAAAGCCCTAATGCATTCACATAAGTACTAAAAGATCCCCCTTTTCCCTTCCTCATTTTGTCCACTTTATATGGTTGAGTTGGAGGGATATTAATTTACTCCCTCTTCACTAGCTTCTTCTTTTGCTTCTGATGTACTTGTACCAAACAACTGATAGGACTTCTCTTTCCAGTCTCTATCCCCCCCCTCCAGATTCCCTTCCATCCCTTTGCTTTTTCTCCCAGACTTCCCTCCTACCAAACAGTAACTAGTAAAGCTTTAGGCGTGACAAGAAATTAATTAATGTGCACTTAATATCAATCTCCCAAAGGTTGTGGCGACAAGGTAGTTGTTTGGTTGGTCTGCAAAGCTAATCTTTTCTATAATGTGTTTCTATTATTGAATTAAGATGAGTTAATGTGATTGAACTGAAAGGCCCAAGTTGGGCCATGTCTAAAAAGATGTCTCTCCTTTCATATGAATGAGAACAAAACAGATACATACGTCGTATAATACTATTTTTCTTTTATGATTTAGACTGATAGATAGAGTGACAGTATGTTCTAAGCTAGCCCACTTTTCATCTTTGATACATCTATCAATGAAAAGCTAGCTACAGAGGCGCTGGAGTATAATAATTCAATTGAACAAAGAAAGAGAGAAAAAGAAAACAGATAATGCATGTCTTTTTTTTTATTTGTTTTATTTTTTTTATTTTTTTGTTGGGTAAGTAATTAATTTATATAAATATGAAGATGGTATAGAGAATAAAGGAGGGCGTATCCCCCTCAGTATAATCAGAAACAATCCATTAAAAGCAAGGCAAACCAGCTACAGAAAACAAGCTATCCAATAATTATTGCTTCACATAAACAGAATCAGGAAATTGCCATAGAAGCCCTTAATTACCTCAAAAATAAATAAATAAATAAATAAAATGCCATAGAAGCTGAAAACTAATTCATGTTTTCTACATACCGTGTCTTTAAAATTTGAGTAATTAGCAATAATAGACTTACATATCCCTATATGAACTAAATTTTCTTCAATCCCAAATCCAAACCGCGGATTAGGTCCTCTAAAACATAGCATCAATCAGTATATATGAGAGCTTTCAAAAAAACAAGTTCCGGATAGTTTCAGGCACCCTTGTTGGAAGATTAATCTAGACTTGTCTAGATTCATCTATGAAGACCAAGTGATACTTGAGAAGGTGCAAAGAATCTCATAATAATTGCTAGTACATGGAACATTTTGGTGTATATGAAATATTTTGGTTCATTGTGTGGATCCCAAGATTTATGGGAAATTATTGAAAACGGTTTTGAAGAACCGGTGAATCAAGCGGGGCTAAGTCAAGCACAACTCAATGAGTTGAAGGAGAATCGAAAGAAAGACAGGAAGGCACTGTTTTTCATATATCAAGCAGTTGATGAAGTAATTTTTGAAAGAATCTCGACAGCCATTTCAACAAAGCAAGCGTGGGATACGTTACAGGCCACTTATAAAGGTGAAGATAAAGTTAAAGTGGTAAGATTGCAAGCTTTTCGAGCTGAATTCGATACGATTAAGATGAAAGATTCTTAAAGTGTAGAATAATACTTTATTCGTATTCTTTCGATCACTAACCAATTGAAGGTGAATGGAGAAGATATTCAAGATCAAAGAATTGTTGAAAAAATCCTCCGAAGTATGCCCAGAAAATTCGAACACATCATTGTAGCAATTAAAGAGTCGAAAGATTTGTCGACTTTGTCAATGAATAGCTTGATGGGATCACTCCAATCTCATGAGCTTCGATTAAAGAATTTTGATTCAACGTCTCTAGAACAAGCTTTTCATGCTCAAACTTCTTTTAGAGAAGGTTCGAGAGGAACAAGAAGTGATCGAGGTGGCCGAGGAAGAGGAAGAAATAGTGAAAGAAGAACTTTTGAGTCTAAGGAAAATGCTAATTTCCTCCTAATAAAGGAAGAGGAAAAGGAATGAATAGAGGTCGAGGCCAA